GGTTAAAGTTAGCAGTGTGTGTTTTCCTGCTCTATCTCAACTCATCATTTGTCAGCGTATTTATATAAGTGTTAAGTGGGATTCATAAAATATCTCTGTGGTTTCATTTCTTCCTTGAATTCTGCCTGTCAGAGACTTGATGGCTCAAGATAATACAGATTACAATGTTAAAGGGCGGGTTATTTATAATGAGGCAAGCCGTGGAAGGGGGCAGATGACAGTGTACTGTATTTCATGACCTTGCCAGCTCATTGGTTTGACCAGTAATCCACTTCCATAAAGAGAAAGTGCAGGATTTAGAAGGCCATGGAGTTTGCAATATATACCTTCTTAACACTTGGTCTGCCTGCGACTGCGTCTGTGTCTCTGTGACTCTAACAGCTCGGCCTGGTTAAAGTAAGATTTCTCTGTTTTCCTCTTCTATTTTAGTTGATCACATTTTGGTTGGTTGCAGCTGTAGATGATTTGTTTCGTCTCGGGAGCGCAGACGTCTCTGTGGAAGGTTGAAGCTTTGATCTCAGAGGAGATATTTGCTATTTGCTGTCATTGACGGGAGGATGTTGTTGGCGCCTGGCCAACTATTTAAAGATGGTGTCAGTTTGATAAGTTTGTAGTGACCATAAAAGGTTCTTGGAGGTTTTACGTCTTTTGGGAGTCACCATTGTATCGAATGTTGACAGTGGAGAATTTGAGCGATTTCCTCACTGTGTAGTTAATGTTTATGTGGAGTTACATGTAATTACTTGACATATTTTTAGGATTTCAACGTTTGAAAGAGTTGTTTTCCGTCTTGACGTGTGCTCGCTCTGATGTTTGGCGTACGGTGATGTATGGCGTGGTGATGTGGCATGCTGAAAGATGACACCACTACAAGGCATTAACCTGAAAGTCGATCTGTTAGTGTTTATCCTCCTGTCAGCACTGAGGGAAGCGGGGGGACAGCGGAAGAAAACTGGGTCTAATCTTCAGGGACCTGACTTCACATTTTACACTTCAGTTTAATCCCTGCTTATCAAATTCAGCCTGTTTTTTTCCACACGCGTTAAAGCATTAAAGCCC